TCCATGGTCCGTGCTCTTTGTCTGACTCGGGGAAGGTATCAGCCTGCAGGAGCCCACCCTGAGGAGCTCTCTGCTATACGATGTGTGTCCTGGTGATAGTAACCTCTTTTCTGGCTGTTAAAGTGCATTCCTGTGTAGATGTGGAAAGAGAGAGAGCACACGAGAGCCAGAGCTAAGACAGGAATGTGACTACTTCCTTAATTGGACACAAGAGCCTTGAACTGGTTCCAGTTTTAGTGTTTTCTTTTAAGAGCCTGGACCCTAAAGATTCCATAGAGTTTTTTCTCTGAAAATTCCCTTTGGTTAAAGGCCTCTGGACAGAAATAAAGGAAAAGCCAGGTCTGGATCTCTTTGATATTTGGGAAGGCAAGAGTTCATGGGCTGCCAGATCGCAGGCTTCTTTTGTGTGTGAGAGTGTTCTGGGCAGAAAGAGGAGGCTCCTCCTGAGAGGGGCATGGCAAGAGAATCCACAGGCTTGGTATTGGGTTGCAGAGCATTTATAGAAGCAATTTCTCTCAGTCTTATTAGCACCCTGAGAGCTAAAAAGAGATGTCTATTGTCTGCTTTATTGCTTTAGGATTCTGAGACACAGAGAGGTCATGCAACTTGTCTGAGGACTTATAGCAAAATCAGTCAAAGGCAGAAGATTTTATCCAGTGAGTTTGGGTTGCTCTGTGTTGTGGACTGCTAATTCCCTAAAGGCCAAGGTGGGAAAGCATGCCTGCACTCTTAGGCCTCGCTCATTCATCGTGTGTCCAGAACCCAGCTGAACTCTTGCTGGGAGGCACCAAAAACGCTAGGAGGAGCTCATGGGTGTGAGGGGAGAGGCTGGGACACTGGGACCACAGCAGTGCCCACCAGGCAGAGTTTCAATACTTGCCTCTGATGTCTGCTCCCCAAAAGCTGGAAACTTCAGACAAGGGCTCCAGGGGGAAATGGGGCAGTCTGTGGTTGAAATGAGTGAAAAACTGAAGCAGATGCAATCAACTCTGCTGAACCCCCTCTTTTCCCCCAAACACCTTAAAAACAAGCCATGCATCTGCTCAGTGCTTTCCAACTTACCAAGTGTTTTCATAACATTATCTCATTTCATCCTCACATCAACCCACACACATTCTTGCCTTTCAGATTTCTTATGTACTCAAATGAGTTTCACCAAAAAATTGGCTAGAAACTCCCCTTCTCTTACTCACTTTTTTTTTTAACCCTAACCCTTTGACTGATATCTTTAAGAAGCTCCCAGAATCCCAGGGTGGGAAATGTATGTATTCTGCCAGCCCTACCCCACTGGATGGACACCAGTAGGCCTGGTCTTTGCTATTGGAACCAACACTCTTGTATTCAGTTTATAGTTTAGCTGTTAAAACAAACAAATAAAACCACAGAGGTCAGAATAAGTGTAGTATTGTGGGGAAAACATAGGCTTTAGAACCAACAAGCTCCAGAGTCAAATTTTAGGTCAGCCATTTGAGAGCTATGTGGTCATGGCCAAGTAACTCAACCTCTCAGAGCCTCTCTTTCTTCATCTGCAAAATGGGGCAATAGTGCCTATGTCTTAAAGTTGTTGGGAGGCATAAATGTGCTCACAGATATGAGTGTACCTTAGCAAACAGCTACTGCGTAAAGTCCCTTATAGCTAACCACTACTAGGCAAATTAAATGCAATACTGTCTTTTTGCAAGCCAGAAGGGAGATCGAGTGTGGGAATATGTCGTTAAATGAATTAAGATGGAGACCTTTTTTACTCCATGAAGAATGAGCTACATGTCCTGCGTATATAGCACAGCGGCGCCTGAGGTGACTCTGATAAGACATAAAGCACAGCACCTTCATTCTTTTTTTAATTCTTATTTTAGGTGAGAGAGAGAGAGAAGGAGCTGGGAAACTGGATTTATGTAATGTTGGAGAGCAAGGCAGTTCTGGTTACACCTGGATTTCTATTGAAGCAGAATTGCAATTCAATCCTTGAGTTCCTGGGAACAAAGGTGGGGGAAGGCAGGGAATGTAGAGGGCTATTTAGTTCACTGATCTGCACACAGTAAATACTCAATAAATGCTGGTGGTGGACTAGGGGGGATTTGAGAGTCCAGATCATATGACTTCTGCTGCTGACTTCTGGCAAGTTCATTGCAAGGCGTAGGGTTGTAGTGGAGGGAACATTTGACGGTCAGTCTGAAGCCCTGCGTTCAGGTTCCAACTACACCACTTAATAGCCTGGCGACCTTGGACATGCAACTTAATCTCCCAGGTGTCTTCTCACCTGTAAAACGAGGAGACTGGACTCGGTGATTTGGAAGGTCTCTTCAGCTCTAAGCTTCCGGGGCTCTACGTAGCTTCACTTGCATGTGTTTCTGTTTCTTTATGTACTCTAAGGCAGTAGGGACGAAACCTATCTCATAGGATTTGGGGAAGAAATGGTTAGTCTGCATGTTCAAATACCCTGTGTCTTTAGAGATACGAAGGAAATGCAGTGACCCAGTGCAATGCAGCAGAATAGCTGTGTGAGCTTTGGCAAGTCCTCTCATTTATTTCAGCCTCAGTTTGCATATTTGTATATGTTATGTATACACATACATATACAAATGTATATGTATAACATCACATTTGTGCTATGTTAATCTTATTACATTAAAGCCGAGATCAAAATGCTTTGAAAAAATGCAAGGTACTATATAAAGTATTATGATTGAGAAATGGCATATTTGTTCTAGCTGTATGAAAGTTAAGCCCCATGCCTGCCATATTTTCAAATGAATGAATGTGTCACAGTGGTCCCAGGGGGGAAACAGAAAATGTAGATTTGGGGTCACAACCCAAGGCTTGCTTTCCACTCCAACTTACTGACAGAGGTGAAATTTAGTTAAAAGGACGTTAATACAAAGTTTCCCCAAGAGCAGGCCTCAGGTAATTATGTTAATGTTCTCCAATGTAGGGAATCTTTCCGGAGGCCAGATGTCTGCTGGCAAAGGCCTTACTTCCCATCCTCTTCCCCAAAATGAGGCCATGGGGGTGGGGAGGAAGATTTCTGAGCTTTGAAAGTTTCACAAAACAATGATCACAAATATGTAATGCAGGCTGTTGGTATGCAAAAGGGGCAAGATGGTCTTTCATCACAGGCCTTGCCAGAGACTGCTTCTGGGGAGAGATGGCAGAAGGGATCAGTCCTGTTTGCCGGGGGCCTAGCTCAGGCAATCTTGTCTAAGAGACCCAGAAAGTCCAGCCTGGAAACCAGCTCTTCAGCCATCAGCTTCTCCTTTGGCTACATAGATGACAATACTCAGACTTCCAGCAGCTTCCCTACCCTATGCACAACAGCCCCCCTGTTAGCATAACCCCACACCTGGAGCATCCCCCATTAGCACCTGTCCATAGAAGCATCACCCTCCATCAGGACACTACCTCTGGAGAAGCAGAGTGGAGATGGTACTTGGCAGCACAAATCAATTTCTGATTTATCTTGTGGGGTGGGGGTGGGGAGAAGCTCCTGAATTTTTCTGGTTGGAGGGAGCAACTAAGGGGCTTGTCTTGAAGCTGCGTTTTCATAGGAAGTATACTGTTTTTATTCAGGTTGTATATACGATTGACTAAAACTATCAAAGTTGTTTTTAATTTAATCATCCTTATCGATTCTTATCGATTACTTTTATTTCAGTTGGCTTAGGAGGGCCCATGAAAATTATGAGGGCCTCCTCACGGCTCTGCCGCTGTTAAACCCTCACCATTAATCCTGTCATCCTTTACCTGAGACAAGCTTATGTGTTTCCACTTGTAAGCACATATACATGGATGCAATACATTCACTCTTTCAAAGAGTGACCGACTTCAAAACACATTCAATTTTGCCTTGTTTTTGACCCCCCCCCCCCCCCCCCCCCGCACACACACACACTTCCTCCGTCCCCACTACACACATAGGTCAGGCTTATAAAGCCATTTTACAGGAGTTTTTGAAGTCGAGATGTGAAGCAACGCGCTCCAGCCACAGAGGGGCAGACTCCCATCCCGGCTCTGGGGGCCGCGCAGCCTGACCGCCTGGACAGACCCCGGGAGTTGCAATTCCCGGGCAGTGTGGGAGGGGGCCGGCTGAAGCTCTTTGTTTCTTCTCCTTGGAGCAGATCTGGGAGCCAAGGCTGGGAAGGTGTGCTTGCGCGGCGCCCACCCGCACCCTTTGCCCCGCGCAGCCGGCGGTGTGTCTACGTGTCCGATGGAAAAACCCTACGAAGACACAACATCCTTTCTCACACAAATAAAACCCTCCACGGTTCTCAGGGCTGCAAACCAGCCCCTTGCAAGCTAACGCAACCCCCGCGGGCACTCGGTCCCCCAGCTCCGCGTCCCCTCCCACTTTCCCACCGCCTGTTTTTCAGCTGTGCTCCCTTTTCCACGCAGCTTGCGCGGGATAGAAGAGACGCGCCTCGGACGCGGCGATCGAGGTGCCGCGGCCGAGGATGCCAGGGAGAGGCCTAGTTTGAAGGATGAACGCTGAAGAGGGGTCCCGAGGTGTGGGCAGCGACTGGGTGCAAAAGAGAGCACTGGATGAGAGATGGCGCCCCGCGCCGGCTCTGCGCGGCCGCCGAGCGGTCCCGTCCGGAGCCGGCCCCAGCGCTCTCCTCACGCCACAGTCCTCTGCCCCCGAGTCCCCCGGGGTGTGTGCAGCGAGGGGGTCGCCGACGCGGGCGGGCTTTTAAGCGCGAAGCGGCGTTGACATTGAACTCCAGCCCGGTGCGTGCGTGTGTGCGCGCGCGCGTGTCCCCCCGCGTGTCTGCGTGTGTGAGTCGTGGGGAGGGGGCCAGACTAGAAGCTGCAGCAAACCACAGCCATCGGGGAGCAGGGCCGAGCGCGCCCCCGAGCCGTCGCCGGCAGTTGCTGCGAGCGCTGAAGCCATTCATGATTTTGGTGACGTTATTCCAGGAGTGGGCGAGGGAGGGCGGGGCTCTTGGGGCCAAGCCCCGCCCCCGCCCCTATAAATACGGCTTCCCGGGCTCTTTGTGGTGCCGCGAGCTCGGTGGAGAACCGAGAGCTCCGTCTTCACTGTCGACGCAGCTGGCAGTGGGTCTGTCTCCGGAAGGCGGACTGGCGAACGCCCAGTGCCCCCACTCGGCCGCCTGCTTCCCTGCCTGCCGCTCTTGTCTGCGCCCGTGACATCCTTGCTCGGGACGCAGTGACCGTTTTTAAATCACAAGGGCGTGGGTCAGCCTCCCCTAGGACTTCATGTCTGTATATTTCCCCATTCACTGGTGAGTATCCTGCGCCCTGGGCGGGCATCCGTCTCGCGGCCGTGGCTGCGGGGCCCAGGCGCCTGCTCGTGCCGGCTCGGGTGCGAGGGCACCTGGTGGCGTGGACGCCCGGCACTAACCCGCCGCCCCGGCCGGTGCAGGAGTCAACGTCAAGGTTGCAAAGGTGGGGGTGGGGGGGAGGTGGTGCTGAGAACATCCAGACAAAGGAAGTGAACTCGAAGCCCTCACTTAAGTGACGGCTGGGAGGGTGTGTATATGGTGGTGGTGGGGTGGGGGGAGAACCAGGGGTCACGCCTGAACCCCGCTAATAAAATCCCTTATGCAGAGGGCTGCAGAAGGCGCGCGCCCCGCCTGGCGCAGGGGGGCTCCTGCTCTCCTCCGGCCCCTCCCCTTTTTCTTTTTGTTTGCGTGCAAGTCTCGGCGTCGAGGCCGGCAGCAGCGGGCTGAGCTGGTGCAGCGGTGGCGTTTGCAGAGCTCCTAGGGGTGGGGGGAAAACGCTCTCCCCACATGTAACCCAAGAGAAGCCACAAGCAGCAGCGCAAGCACACGCTGCTCCCTCTCGATCCTCTTCCTCTCTATAGCCCCTAAAACCCGACGCGCCTTTGTGGGAACCCGGGCTGGAGAGGAGTCATCGTCGCCTGGTCCGGCTGGACGGAACCCGGGCCGGCTGGGTGGCAGAGGATGTTTGCACTCGACCGGGGATCGGGACTGGATGGGATGCGCTGCGGGCGCCCAGCTGGTTGCGGAGCGAGGCTCCTGGCCGCTGGGACTTGCGCGCCGGCTGCTGCTTCCTTCCTGCGCTGGGGAAGAGGAGGAGCGGCCTGGGGGGCGAGCGCTGGCGGCCCCGGAGCGCGCTCTCAGGTGTAGGCGAGGAGAGTCCGGCCCGGCAGGCTCTAGCTTGGTGCCGTCCTGCTCAGCCCAGGAATCGGAAAGTTCATGCTTCTTGCTTCAACTTTTCGGGTCCGCGTCACAGCCCGGAGCGAGGAGCGAGCGCCCCTACATCAGGCAAAGAGCCTGGCGAGAGACCTGTGGGCGCCCTTCTGCTCCAATTCTTTGGGGGTCGGCGGCAGCCTTTCCATGACCTGGGAGGAAACTACCTTTGGAGTCCGGGCTCCTGCCCCTAAAATTACCTGGAAGCCCAGCATCTTCCCTTAGTCTCCCTTCCCCTGTCCCAGCTTGGCTCTGCTTACAGAGGAGACTAAACTCGCATAACAAAGTAAAAATTCCCCCACCCCTGAGGCTCGCATACTCCTCTCCTTCTAGGCGTCCCCTCCCTCCCACCTCCATGGTATGTGAGCAGCCAGGTGCCATATGGGTGAGACTTTGAAGGCTATTGGAAGCTTTGTGCCCCTGGCCACTCAAAATTTGCCAAGGTGGGTTTTAGGGCCCATCAGGGTTATTATTCCCTGAGAAATTAGGTTTGGCATTATTTTATAGTTGATTAGCACTGCATGGTTTGCAGTGCTTTGTTTCCCAGAGGTTAGCTCTTTAGCATAACTATGAGATATGTGTTATCAGCATCCTGGTAACAAAGGGGGCACCTGTGGCTCAGAGAAGTTACATGACTTGTTCAAGATCCTACAGCTCTTCAGTGGCAGAGCTTGGATCAGAACCTATTGCTTCTGTTTCCAAATCCAATGCCATTTCTACCCTATATAGTCACCATAAAAGGAAGAAGAGTTTGGTACCCCTGTTTCTTTAGATATAGTCTTTCTAAATCCTACCCCACTTTTTTTTTTTTAACCATGTGTAAAGGCATGATGGTGAAAATATTGGGTGTTACGTAGCGAGGGCATTGACTCTGGTATGTGCTATTTGGCATTATGCATTCAGGACCCTGTATGTGCCCATGGCTTGTGTGAGAATAATGGAACATTTGTATCCTGCTTACAGAGTACAAAGCACTTTCACATGTCAGCCATTGGTGGGCCAGCTTGGCCCCTTTGGAAATTTCCTTTGCAATCAGAGTCCAGGCATCCTTAACGCTTTTAATCCAGGGGATGTTTTTCAAGCTGTGAGCTTGCAGCTGCTGTGGCTGGGGCTAGAGAAAGGGGTTGGATGGCAGATGTGAAGCTTGCAGAAAGCTGACCCCTTGGGGCTTTAAGTAGGACATTTTGCAAAAAGGAACACTAGAGAGACAGAGAGAAATTTAGGAAGGCAACATTATTGGACTTTGTTCCCCTGAGGTTTACCTGGTATTATTATGTAACAATAATAATATGCAGTGCCCCTGGAGAAGAGTTGCATTGGTTTTAATATAGACAGACAGACTCAACTACCTACTGTTTCATTTTTTTCTAGTTCTGTGACTTAAAAGAAAATCCAGAGTGGCTCTGTGCCGGTGTGGACTAGCACAGGAGAGGAGGGAAGAGGAGATTTGCCAGGGAGGTTTTCAGACAATGGGCTTTGTCAGTTGACGCTGAGAGCCCTGATGCTCTGGGCTCGTAAGGCACTTCCTCAGGGTGGGGGAGCTTGTTTTTCTGAGAGTTCTGTTTTGAACACCTCTCATCCTGCCTCCAGACGGCCCCCTGATCTAACAGCAGAACACACCGAGAGTAGGAATGTGAAAGTACGTGTGTTTGTTGACTTTTGGTCTGGGTTTGTTGGCAGCCCTGACTATCTGAGATCAGCCGAGATGACTGAGGTGATGATGAACACCCCATCCATGGAGGAGATTGGCCTCAACCCCCGGAAGGATGGCCTTTCCTATCAGGTGAGTTACCTACTGGGTTCCTTCTGGCTCTTTAGAGCCTAGTGGCTTTTGCTGGGGCTGGAGGCAGACTTGGTTCTGCATCCCAGTGCCACTTATAAGAGCTACGTGACCTTGGAAAGTCCCCTGATGCCAGTAAGCCTGTTTCTTCATCTGTAAAATGGGGCAACAATAGTTCTTACTTCATATAATTGTGGTGAAGATTCAACACGATGAGGTGATGTGCATAAAGCATTCATAGTCCCTTGGACACAGTCAGGGGCTCAGCAAACATGAGCCAGTGTTATTAATTAGTCATCCTGGCTGCTGTGGACTCTCCCGTTCATGGCAGCAAAGGGGGAACTGATTCGTGCAGTCAATTCAGACCAGACCTTCCCTTCGCAGCCATGCCATGGGCAGTAGAAACATCACTATCAGAGGTGGCTTGGTGGTCTGATGGAAGGGTAGCTGTGTCAAATGCTGCTTTCTTCCTCAGGTTGATGGTTACCAACTGACTCCAACAGAGTTAATGTTCCAACTACTTAGAGTTGAGGAGAACTTCCCCCAAAGGGAGGCTATCTCAGGGATGCCATTGCCAGAATTTAGCTTAGACTACGATCGTCCTGGGCAATAGACCCAAAATAGATAAGGACCAAAAAAAATGACTTAAGTAACACCCTTGGATTCTTCTCCTGGTGCTCTTTCTGCCATGCTGCTTCTTGACTGCTCCTGGATGGCTTCAGAGCACCTGCAGTTGCCTCCGGGGCAGTGAAGTGTTTTAGATTTCCAAGGAGAGTTCCTAGGTTATTATATTTGGGGAAGGAAGGAGCCTGTTTTTAAGGGAAGACCTTGGGGCTAGGGAAATTGTGTAGGGTGGCTGGCCCCGGGGAAGACACACGGGGGTGTGATGGGCCTATTCAGCAGGTGTTAACTGAATGCCTGCTGTGGGCCATGCATTTGACAGATGTTCCTCGTTTGCCCTTGACCAGAGCTCTGGTGGGAATTCTTGGTCTGTTCCACAGATGGGGAAACAGGCTCAGCCTGCGTGGGTGGCTTGGGTCTCGAACTCCAGAGCAGTGCTCTTGTGATATACCCGTGTCTGTACCTTCGGTTGGATCTTGGCTAGAATCTAGACTTGCTCTGGCTAGTCATTCCTTAGAACTGTTCCAGGGGCATTTATTTTGTTAAGGAAGACACAAACAGAAAGCCAGGAGGGTGCGTTGGAGGGAGGGTGATCAAAGAGAGCCGAGATGAAAGCTAAGGTTGGGTAAGGTAACTTGGCAGGTGACGGCAGAGTCACCCTCAGACACGCTTGGGAGGTTCAAGAAGGCCCTTTTGTTTTGTGTCAGTATGGTCAAGCCCCTTTTGCTGGCTGGAAATAAGTATTCGGGTAGCCTGAGGCGGTGTGGCAGGAGGGGGAATACCCTTTCCTGGGCAGTTTTATACCCTCCACCCCACAGTGGGTCTGAGAGAGACAATTGAAGGCCCCACAGCCTGTGGGAGGGTAGAAGTTTCCTAGCCCACCGGCTGGGGTGTTTTTGGATACCAGTTTCCAAGTCACTGAATCAGACTGAATCTCTTTGTGGTTAAAGGTGAGATTTTCTTTCAGTTCTGGGTTTTAGATTTCCATCACAGAACCTTTTCAAACACAGTCGTCGGTACGTCTTCTGTGTGCTTTTTATATTCTTCTTTTGAATAGGTCCCAGGAAAAGGCTCAGGTCCTACAGGGCAGTTTTCTCAACCTTTAGGTCCTTCAGACCATTCCGCTGGATCTGAGGGTTAGGGCAGATGACAGTGGAGGAAGGGGCTGCAACACTGGGTGAGGAAGCCTGAGTCGGGGCTGCAATGGCAGGAGGAAAATGAAATTGCCTCTGGGCTTCTGAGATGTCTCAGGGACGCCTGAGCAAAGGGCCCTCAAATCTTCCCTGCGATGCTGTACTGCGGGCCAGTCTTCACAGCCCCTCAGGAAGTCTGTCCCTGCTTCCTGGGTGGGGGCTACTGCCCAGTTCCAAAATATCTTACCTGGAACTTCAAAGCACTCTGTCACAGGATTTCAGAAAGGTCTTCTCGTTGCCTGATGAACAGAACGGGGAGACGTTGTAATCTTTAACCAAACAACAATCATTGGGCACTTACTGTGTGCAACATACTATGCTGAGTGCTGCCCAGAGGGTCCAGGGCTCATGTGGGAAACAAGCAGGCATGAACATGACAACTAGAATGCAGGTAGTCTGGTGGAGCGATGCAAAAGCTACAGTCAATCCAGGTATGGGTAGCAACGAGAAGGCTTAGAAGAAGGGGGTCAGACTGGGACTGGTTCTTGAAAGAAAATTAGGACTTTGAGAGGGCACCTCCATCTCTAATCTAATTTTGTTGCACCTTCAGACACCCCTCCACTCATCCCTGTTTATGCCAGGTGCAGGGCTCTGCAGTGAGCTGGTCTGACAATTGTCATATGACATATTTTCTGGGCCCACTCAAAGCTAGTGCCATCCAGTTAAACACATTCCCACCAGAGCTCTGGGAACTGGCTGGGCCTGCAGTTGGCCAAAGCCGTCCGCTGTGCATGCTCAGGCTGGGCTCAGATCCGGGGGCGGGAGATCTCAGAGCTCTGTTCTTGGCATTCCTCCTGAGGGTAATAATAGTACGTGGCTTTACCAAGACCTGCTTTTCCAAGGAACTGAAATTGGGAAGGAGACATCAAGTCCAACTTGGCAGATGACGTAGAATCTCAGGCTGGTGATTTGACCTTGAAACAAGGTCATAAAATAAATAGGCACACTGGACTTTGTCGATCATTCCCCCACCTTCTAGACCTACCCAGAATGAAGCTCTCTTAATTTCTCTGCCCCAGATGTGACCTCTTTCTTCTTTCAACACTGTGGCTTTTTGTGCTTTGAAATAGTGCGGCCTGGGCTTTGAGGATATGGGTCCTGCCTGGCCTCCTCCCTGCCCAGGTGTCTGAGGCCGGGGGATAATTCTTGCCCTCCTTGTGCCCATCAGCCATCACCCCTCCTGCACCCTCCCCGACTCTGGGTGCCCTCTGGCTCAGGGCCTTCACAGAGCAGGTGCTAAGTGGATGGTGGTTTCAGGGAAGTTGAGTCTCCTGATTCTAAAGCCAGCCGCCTTCACTTCTGCCTTAGGATGTTTAAAGGGCCCCCTCAGGCTCATGCCTATCAAGGCTCCAAGTGATGCCTTTTCCTCCCCTGAAGGTTCAGGTGGGCCCTCTCTCTTGTGCTTAGGAAGTTAGTGCTGTGTTGTGGGCATGTATAAGAATCCACAGAGCCGGTGCCTTGTTTTGTCTTAACATTCATTTAGAGAGTCAATTCAATATATGAAATCCATGCCTGCACACTCACTTGACATGAGTTTGGATACCCGCCGGGTGGGTGAGTAAATGGTTACTAGAAAGTCTGAGTACTTTCGGGCTGGCTGAGCTGGCTGTGGGCGGCAGCCAGCTCACCTGGCTGAGCGGCGAGGTCTCCATGAGGACGTTTATGTCCCTGGTGGCCGCAGCTCCCTCCCCACACTATGTCTGTGGGCCTCCTGTTCTTTGGCCCCTCAGGACAGGAATCTCTGTCACCTAACGCCTTCTTCCTTTCCCTAACTCAAGGAAGAGAGTCAGCGGCTGCCATGCAGGGCCCTCCCTTGGTTCCAGGGCTCTAGGGTGTAGTGTTTTCGAATGCCTCTCTGACTGGGTCTCCTTCCTTGCTGTGCGTGGATTGTCCTGGGCTCTGTATGGGGAAGGGGCCTGGGCATTTGCCTGTGAACACTGACTCTGCCACAACCCAAGGGCTACGGGGATTCTGGCCATACTGCCTAACTTCCCCACAGCATTGCATGCTAAGGCTTCTGTGGTTTTATTGCCCTTGCTAAGTTCTAGATAGAGATATGGCTCCGTGGTTTTCACTTAAAACTGTCCCTTCTAAAGCATCTGGACCAAGATCTGATAACTTTATCCTTCCCTAGGCTCTTTAAATTCCTCTCTGATCAGCATATGTCCCTTACTGGCCACCCTTGGTATTCCTTCTGCTGTTCTTCTTGGTCACGTACTCCTACCATCTGACATCCATCCCCCTGTCAGACAGGCAGCGGGCTCTTCTTCTCATGGGAGCCAGCGAGGATGCGCTGTAAACCAAAGGAGCTAGCTGTCTATGCGCCGTGGTGCCCCATGCCCTGTGCCTTCCCTTTGATCCACAGAGCTAAGAGCTTCTCTGCATCTTCCCCTGTGTCTCCCAAGACAGGAGAGAGGGATATCCTGGTGTTTTGTATGGGGGGTGGGGGCTGACCTCTTCCCACAGCCCTATTGTTTGCTTCTTGCAGTCTGAGAGCCTCAGTTCCTGCTCTGTGTTAGGAGAGGTCTAAAGCACTCTGCTGGCTGAGAGCTAGCCTCTCCCTGGACAGGAATGCTCAGCCTCTTCTACCTCTGAAGCCCAACAATAGCCAACTTCTTTCTCTCCCCTCCTCGCTCTTTACCAGAAGCAGCAACTTGTCTCTCAAAAGAACAGGCTCAGTTGAATCACTGATGTCAGGCAGCAGTTCGGAAAACACTTTCTCTCCACTCCCGTCCACACTGAGCCCTTCTTTATGAAGAGCCTCTGAGCCTGGCTTTCCCTGTGCCATCCCCTCCTGTGTCAATGCACATGTTGAAATAAGCGGCAGGTTGAGCTTCCTCCCTGGGTTAAGTGCTCAGAGACGTTCCTGCTTTGTGTCCCTGCCTCCGTCTCCCACAAGCCCTGCTCACGAGGCCATTCTGGCCATAACTCATCACCTACCTTTGTCTCTTCCTCCTTGTGCCCCTTGTCTCCCTGGTTACCCCCAGCTGTGGGACCCCACATGTTCTCAAGGGTCTTGAAGGCCCTGCTGAGCAGCCGCACAGAAGTCCCATAGTCACCAGGAAATCATCTTTCACAACATCAGACTTAAAAAGCCTCAGTAGTCCCCAGAGAGACATAAAACTAAAATTCCAAAGCACTTGGCAGGAGACGTCCAGCCGTGGACACAATATGTTACTGGAATCACAG